ACGTAATGTACATACTTAGTCTGTTCCTTTGAACTTCGGACTAAAACCTGTGGAACTGTCAAACTACAATTTTACTCTCTCAAATGAGAGTAAAAGGAGAACAGATGCAGAAGTGCATAGGAACGCAAAAAGCACTATTTCCTGTAAAACCGTCAGTCGGTTTGTTTACATATCATTGGTACAACACTGATTTGGCTGAAATATCACTAAATAATTATTAAAATCTATACATATTCAAATATTTCGTTGTTTACTTCCATTTTTTTACAAATACAAGGTTTTTTGCTTTCACCGCTGTTTGTTTTTGCTTGCACATGCAAATCAGCTGATCGTTTGACACTTTTCATGAACTTACAGGAAAAGAAACTCCGGACTAAATCCTGTAACTTCTGACTAGGAACAGTTGCTCAGTTACTCTCTCAAATGTGTTCCCACTTACAGGTTTTATGTCAATAGGAACGACTTCCTGTAATTTCTGACTAAATCCTGTATACCGGACTGCTATTGGAACAGACTAACTATTACACCCGCAAACATAGTTGACCGCGAAAATAAATTTCCGCGTCCCTCTTCGCCGTCAAATATTTTGACGCGTCTTTCTTCGCCGTCAACTATGTTAAGAGTCTTTCTTCGCTGAAGTTTTTTTTATGCGCCTTTTTTCGCGGTCAACTCTTGAGCTCGCGCCTTTATTCGTGTCTAGTGACGATACATAACTGGAAAGTTCAAAATACGATTTCTCGACGAGAATAAAAGATATTTTAAAAACTCAACGGCAGTTTAAAATATAAAGGTTATACTTTAAGCTGCTGGCAAAGGTATTTTAAGACTTATCGGATTAGAAAAAATTGTTTTTCATGTGAACCGCCAACTTGAATTACTCAGACGAACGAGAGCACAAAGCGTGTTTCCCGAGTATGGGCGACTCGGTACCCGTCCCCTTTCCTCGTCGCTCTTTCCCCAATAAGCTTCGATTCCCGCAACAAAAGTTTTCGTGTCTGAGCATGGGGCTGTCCATATATTACGTAAGGAAGTTTTCGCCTATTTCACTCAAAGGTATTTCATATTTCTGCGAGGACACACATGAGCTCTCGCCCGCGTCGTGAAATTATCCTCTTTGCTCTTCGACGCTGAGGCTCAGAAAAGATCAAGTGAAGCTTTTTGTGAATGCTTAGGGGCTGTCCATATATTACGTAAGGGAGTTTTCGCCTGTTTGTGTTCGAGCTGCATTTTTCGGTTATAATAGACACCGAAGAGTAACGTTTTTTTAGAAAAATAGAAAAATTAAAGCAAAAGTTGTAAAAAATTGTAATATCCTCCGTATTTAATGTATATTTTTCATTGCAATGCAATTTAGTACTTTAATTGAAAAATTTTGAATAATACAAGAAAAATAATATTACGTAAGAGTCTGCGGGACGCCCCCTCCCCCCATATAAGAAAAAGTAGGAAAATTCTAGACCCGCCCTCCCCCACAAAGGTCTTACGTTATATATGGACAGCCGCCATCGACAAATAAATTCTTCCACAACAGTTATGCTCGGTGTTACTATTCTCAATTTTTTTTTAGAATAAAATTTAGCAAATCACGACTGAAGCGTGGCCAATTAGATAGAGGCGTTTAGTTTAATTGGTTTATTTTGTCAAAAATTCAGTGCTTCATAACGCCGCCGCTGTCAATGGCAAACAAAAATTGTCAATGGCCGAGTATGAAGAAATGCTTGAATTTTATGATTGATGAATGTAATACGGCTTTCCCACGACAACCCAATTACGTATTTCGTCTCTCATTCGTAATTCGCACTCCAATTACCCTTCGAATTTCGTAATTCGACATACAAAAATTTGAGAGCGAATTACCTCATTTGTTTGTAATTCAGATCCAATTACCATGCGAATTACGAACAAATCGCTGATGTCTCTAATTTTTATCGGAAATTTATCGAAACAAGCTCACAAATTAAAACTTGCATTTTTTCTGAGTACGAAAAGTAAAGTTTTTAGATGTGTATATCCCTAATTTAATATGGAAACTTATACATTTTTAGGAAGAACCTACATTTTAAACCAATTTTGCAGCGAAAAAAAAATAAAACACAGAGGCAGAGAACTGTCAAATCGAATTAAGAATGTGCCCGTGGGAATGGGGTAATTCGCGATCGTAATTGGGGGAACGAACCAAGTAATTCAGGGTACCGTGGAAAAATGGTATAAGAAGTTCAATCACGTTGGATTATACGAAATACGAAATAAGCTAAACGGGTATTTAAATCGATTTTCGGTAATTTTTCCCCGTGTATTTTGTTTGTGTAAAATTATTTTATCATCAGTTTACCGATTACTGAAAGATCGCTTCCCGTACGAAATGATAGCGAAACTGAGCTGGATAACCCAGGAAAGCACGACTGTTGTGTCATTCCCACGACAGCCGGTTCTACGTACCGGAAAGAATAGGGTTTTCACCGACCAAGGGCTGTTGTTTCGGCGATCTAACCCAGTTTTGGTCGGCGAAATTTCTCAAGCATTGTTCGTCCAAAATCTGTTTCAAATTCTTGTGCTCAGGGCTGGCCAAGAGTCAAAGCCTGGGCCATAAACTTACCCACTCTGCATATGCCAGAGACGTTACACTCAAACTCCACCTCGGTAAGGTGCAACACCTGCAACGGTTGGAGCCATCTCAGAATATCTCAGGTTTAAGAACTTACCGGCAGTGGACAACGTCATTCGTAGCACTAGGCTATATAAACCGGCCCGCTTCCACGGCACACCAGAGTTCACCTTAGCAACACCACCCCCCAAACACAGTACCACTGTAACTTGTGAACGTATATAAGAGGAAGACGTGGAAAGAGCATCGGACGACTTTTAACTTTACTTCTGGTGTGAGTAAGCTTTGAACAACCGTGAGGTCAATGTCCAACACGACGAAGCGCGACAACAGAGTAGAAATCTCTTTCGATGTGCGCGCTTCGTCGAAATCCTCCAAAGCCATTGAACCAAATGAAATACACATGCTGATTATGAAAATCTTAGGTTCAGCAGGAGTAGACGAACCCAACAAGGTCCACAACTTGAGGCTACACTCATCTTGGAAAACGGGGAGAAAGGTCCCACTGCTTTAATAGGGAAAACCGTCCAAAAAAGTAGTCTTATCGCCCGATAACCCTCCTTGGGACACAAATAGTGTTCGGCGAGTTATCTTAGTGGTCGACATTCGCCAGTCAGAGACAAAACCATCGAAACGAGGAAAATTAAACAGGGGACCCAGAGGGTGGTGTCCCGTCCCCGCTGCTGTGCTGTTGAACACTACATCTTGAAGCTCCCTCAACCGCATGAGGAAGTCTCTATTATCTCTTATGCTGACGACAGCTGGATGATGGCGTCCGGAAATGGAATTCATGACTTGTGCTCGAAAGTAAAAGGTAACCTTTCCGAACTTTCTCGCTTCTTCACTGCAAGAAGACTAACCCTCTCCTCCATAAAATCCTCGGCAACCCTTTTTACCACCTAGCCGCTAGCCGGCGGAACCTGTGGACGAAGCTGCAGACATGAACACGTCTTACACCGACTCCCGACCTTTGAATACCATTTTTTAACGACATGGACGAGACAGAGCTTTGTCTGCCTCGGGAGACTCGCGCACCACCATAGCCCAACTTCGCTCTGGATACTGCAGCAGGCTAAACTCGGGTGGAATGAACTATCACTAAGATTTTACTCTACACTGTCAAATTTTGTTTATCTTTTTGATATTAAAAAAAAAACAACAACCATATATACGAATCTTGTTGTTTCTGCTACTTCTTTAATCTGCATTGATTTCAACGGAAACTACAGTGTTTACATTCGGCGCTTTTACAGGCAACATTTATTTAAAAGCAACACTCGTCTGGTGTAAATGGCATTGGAACTAGTTAATCGCTTTCAACGAAGTTGATTCAACTAATTACCTGTAAAATGGCCTCATGTAAACGCTGCATTAGGAAACAAAGGGGCCGTAAGAAGCACATTAATGGAAATTTAAACCAAAGAGCAGGGGCTCTATTCTGTAACTGTGAGAAAATGTAGAGTGCAAAACTCACAACCAAAAACTCACCGAATAAAATTCAGTAGAGGTTTTCTATTAAACTTATAAAAGCGTCTTAAACCTCGTAAAGCTCGTTAATTTACGAGCCTCGTAAGGGAACTGTCAAAATTTGTATGGAGCTCTATTAACGAGCCCCTCGTAAATTTACGAGGCAAATTTGATGCTCAAACGACCTCGTAAACTTCAGTGTTGCCTAGGGTCCGAAATTTTTATAATAAAATGTATGATAAAATAATGAAAATAAATGAAAAAATAATACGCGAATGAAATGAATGAATTTCATCCACTAACTGTATTGACTTAGGTTTTCTGCTAATTTTCGGAATTTTTAATTGTATTTTAGCCAAGAGTGATATAGGCAAGATGGCGGGATGTTATGGAAAATACTACGAAACAAAAATTCCTTCACAAAATCCTAGTTTATCTGTCACACAGTCACTTTGCGCACCTTTTCGCAAAGGGGGCGTTCCCATAAATGCCTCGTAAACTTAAAAGTTTTACACAGTTTAAGACAATAAGAGTTTAAGGGAATCCCCTAAGTGAGTTTTCCGTAATAGAAGTGTATACAATTTTGACAGCTAAAACTCATTCCCAGACTTCTTGAATCGCAAAATGAAGAGTGTACACAATTTTCAGTGTACACTTGAAAACTCATAGTTACAGTATTCAGCCTCGGTTCAGCACATGATGAGTCGGGTATATGGGTACATATATTTGCATTAAATTTTTTATGCGAGAAACTACTGAAAACCCAAAACCCAAAAAGTTTTTTTTTTAATAAAGTACATATATGACTTTATTGCAATATAAATAAAAATATATATATCTAAAAGTAGTTTATAAAATTAACTTAAATATATATATTTTAATTGTATTTTACTAACCATAATATTTTAAAAATTAAAAACAAAAGCCGGCCGTTTGGAATGATACATTTTTGCTTTAAACCCGTTCGCTGTACAAATAGTTTACAAAACTCTGTTACGTACATACATATGTATGTATGTATACAAAAATTTATAAGAAAATTCAAAATAAGGCATACATTAAAATATTCTAGTAGGTTTGTTGTTGTTATACAGGATCATATCATCTGATCTTTCAAAGCGTTTCTGATATGCAAAAGGAAAAAATCTCATACGGTGAAATTCTATTATTTGGACTGATGCTGACGCACTCCATATTTACTCCAAAAGGTCACAGGACACTTTATACGCTTGCCAGAGTTCTTATGGAAGACAGAGCACTCCTCAAAGGGGGGACAATACAAATGAAGCGACACCGCCGTCTCGATGTGACTAGGATTTTCCACTCGGTGCAAGCCAAGATTATCTGAAATCGAAAGATAGTTTTAGTAAACTGTTAAACATACATATTTCATTTCAACAAACCCACCATTTATATAGGCAACATCATTCAAACTAATCGATGAAGAGCCTATCGTCTTCAATTCTTCGCTATTGAATTCTTCATCATTATCATCGTCATCATTAGTTTGACCAATATCTACACTGGGCATATCTATAGCCTTGGTACATGGCATTTCATACCTTGTCTCCTGTAGATCACCCTTAAGCATTTTCATAAAACAATGTGAATCGGCATGATCGTGTATGGCTGAGCCTTGGCCTTCACCCCAGCATAGGATCATCAAATTGAATTTGCCGTTACCGGCGTCAACCAAATTGCGTGTGTATTTATAACGATCAAACTTAGCGAAACGCTTCCATTCGCGCGGATTCGACTTATATGTCAACATTATGTGATTAACCATCTCTATATTTACATAGCTCGTTTCGAATTCCTTGTGAAGGGCCGAAATCAGATCCGTTAGATTATCAATGGTTGGACCATATTTGAGAGGTTTTTCTATGCCACGAAAATGATGTGTAGCATCACGTAAGTAACGCTCCTGATCCAATTCAGAGTTGTTGGCATCGACCTTGGAAAGCGCCATTTCGGTGCAAGTTTTATTCACCTGTAAAATGTACATATGTATGTAAATAAGAAAGCGATTTGCTATTGATGCTGTTGTATTAATGGAAGCCGATTAAGGGACAAAAAATTATATATGCCATCTTTTTCAAAAGCTAATAAATTTTAAGACATTCTTAGTCCATCTTAAATTAATTAGCCCTGAGTAAGTATCCTGATTTGAAGTATAGCTACTTTGCGCTTTTTATTAAAGGAGCGCATAAATAAAAATAAAAAAAAATAAAAAATATATCGCTAGGTTAGAGTAGAAAGTTACCAAGTCCAGTTTTCCAAATTTTACAGAAAGGAGGGAAAACCTTTCGCATTCGTTTTCTTCAAGCACTTGTTTAAACAAAAAAAAAAAAAATAATAGAAGGTAAAAAGTAGTCTTATCGCCCGATTAATAGTCAAAATAAAAAGTTACAAGTAATGCTACCCTCAAAGAACTGAAACAGAAAATCGTTGACTTCAGAATTTTTTTTAAAGGACTTTCCAATTTCAAAAATATGATCAACTAGCAAAATTAAAAAAAAAGATGAATGAAAGAAAATTCTGTAGAAACAAAAAAAATATCAAGTCTTGCTTCCCAAGAACGAATCTTATTGCATTAAACGAGCAATTCTTGTATATATGTAAATACATCCATAGTGTTCTCGGAAACGGCTCCAACGATTTTGATGAAATTTTGTATGCAGATAATGTTTTGGATTCTAAGGTTATCTGAATAGGCACTATCTCCGAGAAGACTCGTATAAGGTTGCCACCTATTCGAAATTAGTTGCAAATTAATTAAAACATCATAATAAGGAAGATAATTTAAAGATCCATAAATCAACATTTTTAATAGGGTTGTCACCTATTTCGAATCGCACATTTATTTATTTTTTTTTTATTTAGAAAAAAAGTTGAAATATTACTATTCATGGATACCAAGAGAAGGTTTTTAAACAATGCTTTCCCTATATACAAAATGGTATCCCTTAGGATAGTAGTGTAAGGTTGCCACTTATTTTCGATTCAACACAATTTTTCTAAAACATTATGGCTTTCAAATGAAAGGTATTGTTGAGGACTTTGGTCAGAAAATATTTTCGATCAGGTTTGCCACGCTTCTATGTAATACAAACTTTTATTTTGTTAATTTCAATCAGCATTTTTTTAAGTATACACAATACATATACGCTCAAGATATGTCTATTCATTCCGGCGCATTTCGGAATAGGGTTGCCACCTGAATTTCTGAGTAAGAAATTTACTTAATAGATATCGAAATCCATTTTTTTTTATTTCAATAATATTTTTTAAAGCTATCCAAATTACCAGTATTTGATATCCCAACCTTGAAAACTTTAAAAAGTATATGCTTGGCCAATCTGGTACTAGGTATTGAAAATGCGCTTTTAATTAATTTTATTTCTTTATGTACAACCACATCATGCATATTAGTCCTTAACATAACAATTTTCAAAGATACATATTGAAAATTTGCAAGGATATTCAAGGATAAAATTTTAAAAGGACTTTTTCAGTACCTATTCGTCTTTCTGCACCAAAATATTTAAACCTTTTTAATTCTATCGAATTTTTTCTTTTATATGATTCGCATATTTGTGTTAGAATGTAGAATTGCACCGAGTTTTTTAAAAATTTGTCTGAAAATTTTAAATTTCAAAGTCCTTTTAAGAAAAATCCTGACGTAAGAGAGAATTTTAATGGTTAGTACTGGATAATCCTTACTCGTATAAATGCGAAAGGTTTGTTTGTTACGCTTTCACGTTTTAGCTTTATTTTTTATGAAATTTTGCATACTGGTCTCATTTAGCCCAACTTAAAAGATAGGGTAGCTTGTATCCCGATTGGATAAAAGGGCGTGGCATCTCCCATACATACTGCATACCTCTGGAAGTATTTGTGGTAAAGTGCTGGAACTTCGTATGGAGATGTGTATATGAAATCAATACTATACTCATGGAAAAAATGTGGTTTCTTGGAAAATGGCCCGTGACACCTGCCATACAGACTGAATTTTTTATACTACCTCCTGTTAGAAAATTAAATTCAATTCAAAGTATTTTATAAGTTAAATGAATTTTTACAAAATGGATGTCGATTGAGTCGTTATATCCCAGAAATGGTGACTCTTAGGAAAAAGTGTCATAAAGGGTTTTAAAGGGTTTGCATGATCTACACATTTTTCTAACCTATTTTTATGTTAAACCTTACGGTTTAGCTGAAAAATTGTAAACATCAATTTATTTGACCTTTGACCTTGAATAATTTTTTTTTACAGATCTGGGATCGATAAGGACTTTTCTCGTTTCATTTATAATGACATTCGTACCAATTTTCAGCTTTATGGGAGTTACTGCAACCTTGAAAATCTAACTTTACCGGGCAGAAATAGAAAGCAATTTTGAAAATATGGTTCAAATAGAGTTGCAATTAAAAATATTACTTACGCTGGTTATAATGTACTTCAATTGGGTTGGCAAGTGATCATTTACGATAAACAATTTGTGCTACTATGTTAAAATTTTTATTTTTTTTTTATTGAAAATTAAATTATTTCAAAAATATAAAAAAAAATAAAATTTTTTATTTATGCCCTGAAAAGTAAAAAAAAAACAAAAAATAGTCTACCTTAATTGGTTCATACTCAGGTCTTGAGGGGTTATAAGCCAGCTCTCGGTTCTGCAGGATTCTGTGTATTACAGATGGAAAGTTTCCGACCTAAGACTGGTAGCATTAAAAATATTTCTCCTCTCGATTTACATATATGGAGGCCTTGAATAGGTCTAATTGCGAAGGTATATATTTTTTTAATTTTAATTTTTGATTTTTTTCTTTCGCTAATACAATAACTTTCAACTCTTAGCTGACAAAATATTTTCGAAAAGCGTAATTTAAACTTATACATATGAGCATTTATAAATACATTAGTATGTAAGTACGTGTACGTATGTCAAATTAAACGGTGCGTTAAGGTCAATGTTCAGTATTTATCAGTTTATTATGGAATTTAAATACCCACAAACATATATGTATGTATGTATACTTTTCAATATAGTATGTACAGATTGTAATTCAAAAACGCCTGGAAAAATTAATCTTAACAGATTACAAGCAGATGAGTGCAGTTGTTTCTTTCTTTTCACTGTTCTAAAATTGCTTTTTAGAAATCAATGAAAATCACCGTTTTTCGTTTTAAACTCACTTTTCGGTTTAATGAAGTATTTTCTTATCGATTTCAGTGGTTCTATAAAACTTGGACTTAAATTTGAAACTCGTTTCCGTTAGTTATTTAAATACGGTCTTAAACTTAACCGCTCTTTGAGTCTTGACGCGCACGATTTGAATAAGAAAATCTGAATGATTCGAAAATCGATGTTCTTTGAGTTGAGATTGTAGCTCGTGATAGCTTTCTTTAGCTTTTTTTTTATAAATACATATTTACATACATACATGCATATGTACATATAATTAAGACTGTATATTATATACACATACATACATATGCGCATACGTACAAATCCATATATGTAGAGACGATTTGCTGTACCAGTAAATATTAGCCGGAGATAGGTTTCCCCATCTGTGCACTCGGATGAGATTATTTTGCTATGTATGTACATACTTACATATGTATACTATACATACTATTTATGTTTGTAGGTACGGATGCTCCCATTATAATTTTTGTTTTTGATTTATTGTAAGCTTGTTTTGAATCTTCTCTGCGGAGCGTACTAACTCCGTAACAATGTCGGAAAAAACCGCACCGGAGAGATCAAAATTAAGGTGATAATTCGACGTACTGTTATGATAACATGTATTATTGGTTTCATATTTCACGTTCGTGGTATATACATATATAAGTGCGCAGAGGCCTGTAAGTTCGCAAACTCGTTATTATTATTGCTAATTAATTTGGACAAGCCTATCAAGAATTCCGTCTGAGTTCACGAAATTCTCCCGCAAATTCGAAATTCGTGAGAATGGTATCACTGATTTCGAGTTATTTTATTTTGATTTAGAATTATTAAACCAAAACATACGACGAATGCGTCGGAATTGCTGATAGCATTTCTCCCGAATTCGTGACGGGAGGTTTTTCCACGACGGGAATTCACTCGGAATCTGTGATAGGTCTGGGAGGTTAGTTTTGCGTTATTAGAAATATTGAATATTTCATGGCGATATATAAAAAAAAGTACGTCATGCCAAGCAGGAAGTAAACAATCGTAAAGTAAAGTAAAAACCAACAACTTGAAAACAAACAAATACGATGAAAACAAATTCATTAATAGCGATTTCGTTTCTTCCAAAAATGTTGCCCTTTCACGGTGCAAAATGTGGTTGATGTTGCACTCAACCCTGTAAAAAGGCATATTTTTCCCTTCTTGTCCTTTTCTAGCGCACGCCTTTCGTAATATTGGCGTTTTAAGCAATCATCTGATTTGGAATTGGTTTATAAAAAAAGAAAAAACCGACCCCGCACCACCTAACGGCTATATTTTCTCCAGTATTATTTTTTTTCCATTCAAGTACATACATAATATACATTTCTAATGTGAACCATATCGGACTACGAATATGGGTTTTCAAAATATCTCTACTCCTGTGCCACCTATCGGCCAAATTTTTTTTTGAGGAAATTTTTCTTTTTCAAATATAAACCATATCTGATCATAAATACGGCTTTTTTAAATACCTCGACATCTGCGCCACCTAGCGGATTAATTCATACTTCACATTGCATTGTCATCGAGTTTTTAGCTAAGTTTAAAGTCTCTAGCTCATCGGGACATTGGTTAAAAATTTATTGCAGGATTTGATTGCACACCGGTGGAACGTAATAAAAGTTTGTAAAAAAAACCAATGAGATTCCGTTTTTCGAAATTTAAAATTTTATCATTTGAAGCTGTTTTTATTTTATTGACGTATCGAAAGACAGTCCCCGGACCGTACAAGTACATATCGTAAAATCAATTGCTCCTTCTTGAATTGTCTTGCAAAATTTATGTGTGGCTCTAAACTTTAAAGGAAATCAAACCAAAAATTTAGCTTCATTGGGTGGAACCATCCATAAGTTGCTTTAACAGTTTTAAATAATTGCCTTATTAGAGTAATTTCAAAGTATAATTTCATTAAAACGGCTATTTCAGCTATCCTTTTGCAAAAGCCTCTCCCGCTAAGTTAAGCGGGGCACACATTTTCATTATTTTTGGAACGCTATTTCAATTTTTATCCGTCGAATATTGTTCTGCGATCTTTACGTCAGGCGGAAAAATTGGAAAGTCAAAGGGTAATATGGTTTAGGAATTAATCTCAATTCTTCTTAGATTTGGACATGGTTCTTATAAGATTCAATGCACTAAATGTCCTATTTGGGGCAAAACCCATTCTCGTCCCAGGAAGATTACTTCGGCCCTGGACTTAACGCTGATCACTAATGTTAATTTTAACTTTGCAATTCAATAGCAAATTCTCATAACAACATTAGCATTAACATCATCGATGTCAGTCAAGTCTAAGGTGGATTTTTATATCATAATATAATCTTTGTGAAAATTGCAGATAGAGGGTATTGAATATAAGCCGTCGATGTGTATTTAGTATTTGAAAGCCTCACTCACTTTTCACAAAAAAGAGCCTATCTCGGGGTACTGACAGGAAACCAATTTTTGCTAAATCACAAAATAACACCAAGGATTAAATTTGTTTTATTATTTTGATTGGGATATGCGACTTTTATATATTAAACGTCTATGAAGCTCCCCTCTTAAAAAAAATAAATAAATAAACGGTATTCTCTCAAACTGGCAAAAAGCCGAGAGAACCTTGAAAATTTGGTATCTTTGGTTTAACTGTCAAATTTTGTATACAAAACTAGCAAATACCCGGCGTGCTTCACTGCGCCTTAAAAGTATTTTGTGCTGTTTGATACCCTATTATAATATTTAATTTATTTAACAATATATTTTAATAAAATTTTTCAAACAGAAGGCAACCCTCCTCACATATTTCCAGCAGTAAACTTTCCTAAACCTCTTTATTTTTTATACCCATATCGCAATATGTGTTCAATTTATCTTATCAATTCAAATAAATTAAAGTTTTAAAATAGGTGGCCACCCCAAAAAAATATTTTCTTCTATAAGCCGTTTTAAACCTCTTTTTTTGACAGCCATATTGCAATATTTACTTTATTTTATCAATTTACTTAGACTGCAACTTTCAAACAGGTGGCAACTCTGTAATTTTTTTCTTTCTATATTTTAAGTTAGACCTCTAGCAATACATAGGTAAACACTGTATTCAATTCCATGCATTAGTTTTCGAATGATGCGCGCACAAATATACAGACAGACAGAAAAAAATTCTAAAAATTGTTGATTTGGCTTCGTTGCTCTAATAAAGACCCCCCATATTAATTTTTTTTTCCAATATCTTTAATGTACGATTATTAGTTCTCGAAAATAAGCAGATATATAAGTACTTACCATTTTATAATGACCGTTAGTTGCAGCGGCAATCCCTGTACCTGAACTATCTGTAATTCCGCTGTTGTTTGTTGTCGTCGCTGACTCGGCAGTGTCTTTATCAGTATTCGCTGACTTCTGTAGAAGCTTGCTGCGACACATTAGTATAAACTCGTACTGACCGGATACACACTGCAAATGCAACTCAAATGGTTCAAGCGTATCTCTCAACGCTCGTACTCGTATCTGAAGTTGTTACAACCGATTGTTTAGCCAAAGAAAGTTTGGTGCGCCAGCACAACAACTGGCGATCTGTACCTACTGACTGATCTTCACTTGATGTACAAAGTTTGTGTTATTAATCGGTGATTGCAGAGACGCTTGCGTGTGGCATGAATATTCACTTGATGGTAATGTATTCTCAATGCACTTAAAACGTTTCGATTTTCACTAATTGATGAATGTTTACGATGCTGTGTACGTGAATTGCTTGCATGAATTAGTGGCATTGGTTAATCGGCGCCGCGACGAGGTGTATAACTTCGAATGGCTCTGAAGCGTTTGTGTTGTGCAGCTGCATGAATTTTTGGTTTTTATTCAGTACATTTGGCCATAGCCACAAGACGACCATAAGCTACAAAACATTCCACTCAATTCCAAGTGGCCCTAACTCCATTTGTCGATTCTTGCTTTCTTTGTGTTTTACTTAATTGTAGTTTTTTAAGATTCTTCATTTCCTGAGGTCTGTTCTGCGGTTAAATTTTTTCTTTTTGAGTGTTTAATGATCAGTATCCAGTGGAGTGTTTTGGGTCGCATTCATCTAATTGGTGGTAACTATGTCTGTTTACATATGAGCATTTTGAGTATCTTTAATTTTTAGCTGCCATTAAGCAAACGAACAGTAGCACTTCGGTGGCAGTCATTAGGTCATTAGCATAGACAACGGTATATCAGGTAGCTATCTAGATATGTAGATATTTTTACATTCATCAGTAGTAGTATGTGTGTAAATATGAATATTGGTATCACTTACTCTTGCATCACGTTCGCAATCAATAGCTTCTCCTTAGTTTTATTTTGTTTTACAATCTTTCGCCGACACAAATATTCTCATTAAATGATATTTTACAAACTCAAAATATTTACGAAAGAGAAATGTTACGTGTCTATTTCTTATAAGCGCAGCTTAGACGCAGAGGAGACTTTAGTAAATAAATAGTTTATAGATGCCGAGGTCATACTTACATACATATGTACATCTGATAAATTCTACCGCAATAATTACATCAGCAATTTTTCGAATTCCGTCCCATGGTAATACATACCTACTCTATTTGGCGAATTAGGAAACAGATTAATAAACATTTTGTGACTTTGGTTGACATAAACTTGGCTTGGTGAGAAAGTACCTGACGTGGTTTTCTTTGACACTAACGAAGGATTGGAATGTTTTATTTTGAAATTAATTAATTTTTAATAAATATGTTTGCATATAATAAAAACAAAATTAAATTATTACCACGTGAACGAGGACAAGAAAAAGTACCCGCTGCACCGTGGACGAAATGGCCAGTCTGGCACGGATCAATAATAACTTGATAACTTTTTTTTACAAATAGTGTATAAATTAAAAAAGATTTTCGTGAGTTAAGAAACATTTTTAAATTAAAATAATTTTTCTTTAAATTTTGGTACATATTTCTTTTTGCGCTGGGAACATTAATGTACATAATAATAATTATAATACTAATAGATTGGCGCTTACATATAGGTTAGTTTTTGGCCGAGCTTCTCCTCCGATTTCTGGCTTTCGCCTTGATGTTGGCACACAAAGGGGACCTATAGTTTTAAGCCGACTCCGAGCGGCGATTGTATTTTTATGAGATGATATT